GAAACACCCTGTATATCTAGTGACTTTACAAGACTGTGGCCTTGACCCACCCGAAGAGCGTTCGAAAACACTCTCGAACCACCTTCTGAAGCTGGATGCAGACTGAACGCGATGAGCGATGAGCGACGAGCGATTATCCAATGGGCGAACAGGTTACATGGGAAAACTGTACGCCCATTGGATATCGCTCGTCGCTCATCGCTCATCGCGTTCAGTCTGAATCCAGCATCAGTCTGAATCCAGCCTGAATCCAGCCTCAGTGACTTTTTCTCCCTGCCTCGCGAGGTAGGGAAAAGCTGATAGGTGACTTATTTGGCGGTAAATATGGCGACTGAAACGCTAGAAATACGGCTTGATAAGTCGAAGCAAGTTATTATCGCGAATATTGCGAACAGGAATAATGTCTCTGCCAGAGTCACTCTCTTTACTTAATAACAGGTTCAACTTGGCTTCCAAAATCTCATACGTGTCCGGAATCATGCGAAAATGCTCGCGAAATTGCCTTGCTGTTAGGCCTTGAACAGTTCTTTCCACGTAACCTTCAATGCGCAATGGCTTCTTTCGTGCACCACGCAATTTACGTCGATGTCTTGCCATCAAAATATTATTATAGTTTCTTCATCTGAATCACTTTCATTTATTACACTCAAACTGGACTGTACAAATTTGTGGCTGGTTATTATAGCCAAAGAAATCAAACGCTTTCGACGTAACACGGCATTAGCCATCTTCTTTTTATAATGTCTCGCTGCGCGTATGTGTGTAAAAATACAGTATATTGCAAATAGTAATAACTGTGAATACAATAATCGCGAATTGCGCGATGCGAACAGATGTAAAATAGCGCAAGACACGTGGAAATTTGAATAGGTTAGGGGAGAGTTCGAAAACTCCCAGGTGCGTTCGAAAACCAACAGTCCCCTAACTCCCACCATTCACTTCCCCAGGCCACCTCACTCACTCGCTCTTGGCAGGGGACGTTTTGGAACGCAACCCTACAGGGACTGTAGACGTGACTATGGAAAAAAGTCTGTCCGGAACGCGGGCTCGCTAGCGGGGCCTGTGGGGAGTGTGGGGCACAGGGTTCCGTTCCGTGACGTTTGTGACAGTTTGTCACGCGCACGTGTCCGCGGGCGGTCGCGCTCGTCTCCTCGAGTCTGCTGCGTTCCGAAGCAGGCCGGATCCCCCGCCGCCGGGCTCTGTCATGACCGGCCGCCTTGATCCCGCGCGTGCAAGTGCCACTGATGGTCGATACATCGCCGCGTTCACGTTGTCGCTGCTGCCCGGACTGCCCGGAGTGCCCGATTGAGATCTGGACCGCCAGGTGACTCGGCCTGACGTCCCTGATTCGCGATGACGAGCAAGAAGGGCCATACCCTCCGCATTGAGTCCGAGATCGATCGGAATCGCGAGGACGGCAACTGGCAGAAGGTTATACAGCTCGCGGAACACTTGAAAGTGCAGTATCCCAGCAATGGTAAATGTCTCCCGTTGCCCTCTGCCCTTTACTCGAGGCCGCCGTCTCTTCGCTCTCTCCCACGTACTCGCGCCGTTTCCCGCGAGCTCGGCGTGAAAGAGGGAGAGACGGACGGGCGGCAGGGAAATTAAGTCACGTCATGTAAAGATCAAGGCTGTCCGCAGAGTCTGCGTCAACCAAATGTCATTTCGTTTAATTGTTATGCCTTATCTCCTGTCGACGTTTTCTTCCCATCATCATCATTTTTGCGTCGCTTTTTTTTCAACCTCCTGCAATTGCTACTCTCTCGCGTGATCGACCGCGGAGGGAAAAAAAAACTTACGTTTATATAATGCTTGACGTACGATCGCGGTAACATCGAATGTACGAATGTTCCTTTCACAAATGACAAAATGCTAGATACCCAGCGAAATCTCGAGCCTTGGCAGGGGTGGTTTTACAGTAATGTGAATTTTGCGCAGAATGCCTGGCGAATTTCTTGAGCGGGGAGGCGAGATTGGAGAGCTTTCTGGAGCAAACTCCGCCGATAGACGCCAATATTGCCAAGGCGCGAAACGGACTGACGGAGACGCGCAAGTACTTGTTGCTAGCCGCTAATGAAAAGGATAAACAGGTACTGTGAATGCCGTCGATTGATGACGACCTGCTCTTAACGAGTGACGTTCCAGGCGTTGGTTGTGCTGGACGCTCATCTGTTGCTCGGCAAGCTTCACTATGCCATGGGAATGTACGAGGACGCGCTTCACCACTATCAACAAGCCGAACTAGACACACTCACAGAAAAGCAATTACCTTGTCGAAGTTTACGTATTATAGCAGAGTCGTATGCGATTAAAGGTTTGCCATTGACAAATACTTGTTTCTTCTCTCTGACGAATAGTAGTACGTTTTAGTGCAACGTTCTTAAATCAAAGAAAGAAAAACAAAAGGTACACATAACAAGCTTGCTTGATAGTTTTTCTGTGTTTTCTATCTTAACAGTAGTTTTGTTTTTTGGTTCCATAATTATGTGGTTAGATTTTTATATTTACATACGTATTTACATACACATACATGGTTTTTTATATGCAAGACATGCATCGAGCATAGGCATTTTAATAGAAGGCATAATTTCAGAGTATATATGTATACTTGGACATATATTCTCTTCCCGTTAGCGTGTCCATGCACTAATATGATTGTTAGTAACGAGTTGACTAGACACGTTTATTCATAAACTTGTTGTTATCCAGTATATTCATTTATTACTATGGCTTGTGTATGATTTAGAGAAAGAAAGATCGTTTACTTTAGACACTGACAAACATTTATCCTGCCGAAGACTGCGCATTATAGCAGAATCGTATGCAATCAAAGGTTTGTATGCTTGTTTGCTTCGTTTTGCTTGTATTTAGAAATTTCTTTCAGTTGACGCACACTTTGTAACGGTATCCACTTTATCACAATATAGAAGCTTGCTTGTAAATGCTTTTATCAACTTGAGAACATGTACCAGCGTGTCATATATATATATATATATATCTCATTTGTATATTCTTCGATATTTACTCTCGAGTGAAATAAGAGTTCATTCGTGCTTCTTTGATATTTCCTTTCATCCATCTTGAATTCCTTGTTTCTACTAATACGGCTAGATTTAGTTGCGATGAGTTTGGGACAAGCACAATATGGCGATCCATATATATAATATTATTCGCAAGGAATGAAACATATCTTTGTCAAGTACTTGATTACGTTTTCGTGGACTTTCCACGAAAATTGGAAATTTCCATTTAATTTTGTATATAAAATTTACCTCTTTCTTCTGCATTGACATTAATGTCTCGCAATCAGCACTCCCTGATTGATGGTATTGTAAACTGTTGCTCGTGCCAGGTCTCTGTCTGGAAAGGCTACCACCAAACTCCAAGTCGAAATACAAGATTACAGAGTGGCAGGAGCAGATAATCAAGTGTTACGAGATCTCTGGCGACTTGACGCTGGTGTATTTGCAGGAGCAAGACAAAATTGCTATGCAGCAGCAAAATGGTATTTCCATTATAAATACCAATAGTACAGGTGATTGAGAGGTTTAATCCTCTTGAACTAAATGCGTACATGCCTTTAGCACTTTGGTGTTTCTTCACTTGTAGGCACGTACTCGACACCATCTCCAGTTTCCGCCAAGCATATCGGCCCCATTTTGGAGACTGCGCTGCAAAGAGCACCAGTCTTGTACATTCAAACTGGCAACATACAAGCTGCTGTTAATCGTTATAGGTACGCATTGTGTATTCTATATAGTGTATATAAAAGAAATCATCTCGTGTCTCAATTCCGACAGGGAGATTTTATCTGCTGTTGAATCTACAACTACTCAGAGCTTGCGGGTAACTCTGACCAGACAACTGGCGGAAGTGTTGCTACGCGGCATAAGCGGCACCGACTACAAACCGCCGGAGGGACAGGCCGACGCAATGGGTATGATTAAGACGGAATGTTTCCTTCTCGCGAAAGAATAATATGCTCACTGTCGCATCAATGTCGCAGCAGCTGTGAGTAATAGACGGGCGAATCATTACTCGGGCGCCAATCTGTCGGATTCGCCGTGGAAGCCAAAGAAGTACGTCGGGCCGAACATGTTCGTTCCTAGGAACGAGTACGAGGAGACGATACTGCTGTTGTTGATCAGCGAGGCGATGGCGGTGAGAGACGCCGTCCTCAGCCAATCGCCCGAGTTCAAGGAAGCCAGGATACACGCGTTCGAGAACGCCACCGCTATCTACGACCTACTCACGGTCGTCGTCGTCAGATGGAGTCAAGTGGAACTTTTACACGAGGTTTTCCTTTGTTGAAACATTTATTCTCTATTATCGTTTTACCGTCGCACGGTTAACAATAAATGTTGACGGTCCTTTTTGACAGTCCTTTGAGAGAGCGATGAAATTCTCTCACGAGGAGGTGCACATATGGACGCAGTACGCGCTGTGCCTGTTAAACATGGGAAGATACATGCACGCGTATAGAGTTTTGAAGGTGGTCGCCAGGCTATCGCCTCAGAAAGTAATGCCATGCCTGTTGGCCGCGAGACTGTGTTACGAGCAGTTGAACATGGTAAGTAAAAATACTTTCTCACCAGTTTTTACAGAAATTTGAAAAACCTAGAGTGCTGACCTATTCTCACGCTGCACGATGATGTCCAACAGGTAAACGAAGGTATCGAATGGAGCCAAAAGGCTCTGCAACGAGAGACGGCAAGTCCACAGGGGATGCAATCTAGGTGTCATCTGTACATCGGGATCGGCCACAGTATGCTCTCCACGAATACGATCGTGAAACAAGACAAGGTCAATCACACAAATACCGCGTTGGATTGCTTTCAAAAGTACGTACACGTAGATTTGCTTCTTTTTTTTGGTGATGAATTAATACAAGATGGTATCTTTTCGATTAGAGCACAACAGTGCGATCCCAACGATCATCTAGCAGAGTATTACCTGGCTCACGAATACGCGATAAACAGGCAAATAACCGATGCCATTGTGCACGTGAAAATTGCGCTGAATCTGCGAGCAGAGCACATTCCGTCGTTGCATTTATTCGCACTACTCCTGTCGGCACACAAGCAGTATTCTGAGGCATTGCATGTGATAAACAGCGTACTGGAGGAATATCCGGACAACTTGAATTTCCTCTACGTGAAGGCGCACCTCGAACTGCGAAGTATCGGCGGCGTCGACGCGTTATACACCATCAGTCACATGCTACATCTGTGGAAGAGTCTCTACGAGGATCAGACGAACGTTAATTGTAACGAGCAGCAGAGCGAGAAGCGCAGCGAGACTAGAAGCGTCTTTCAGCTTTACACGTCGGAAATGTCCGATAAGGATTCCAGTAAGTAATACAGATTGGACAAGATTCGATACAAGTTAAATCATTCCATTTCAAAAATTCCAATTCAATTGTTGATTTGAATATAAAACACGACAAAGTCTTGAGTGTGTATGACGGAAGGCAATCATTTCCGATGCAGGTTCCCTGCATGCGCAATCATTAGCCGCTTCGAGAGTCGAGCAAGCCCTCTCCGAGGTCGCTTCGTCAATTAGCTCGTTCACACCGAAGCCAGGGCCGCAGAGAGCATGGCTGCTGCAATTGCAGATCTGGCTTCTGCTCACCGAGGTTTTCCTTATCTTGGACCAACCGAACGGCGCCGTTCTGTCCCTCCAAGAGGCCACCAATATCTTCCCGTTGAGTCATCACATTATGTACACGGTATAATAGCTTCTCGCCACTATGAATCTCCGTGGTTCGATGATTCAGATTAAATGATTCATTGAAAAATTGTTATGCTAGGGTCGGTAATCAGTTTAATCACTTTATAGCGTGGCCTTCTGCACGAGTACAAGCTCGAGTATACGGAAGCGAAGCAATGCTACCAAAATGCTGTTTCGATTAATCCCTCGCACATAAAGAGTCTACAACATCTGGTAATAATTTTAAACAATTTGATAATTTGGCGCAATGCCGGATGGCATTTCCGAATCTAATACTACTTTTGGTTATTTGTAGGGTCTCGTTTATCACTATTTGGGCAGCCAGAGACTGGCTGAGAAAACTTTGAGGGACGCCGCAAAGATCGATCCAAATTCTCATCAGACTTGGTATTGCACGCTCTCAATTGATTATCTTGCCTTAACATTATCTTTGTGATATCTTGGTGACACGAGCCAATGTTCGCTTGGTATCGTATAATAATTTCACGACGATAACATTAATCTCTGGTATTGTGGCAATCAGTTATCGAAAAAGTTACGATAAATCCAACGTCAAGATCGACGCGCGTATCTTATCAATTTCCTTCTTTCTGATATATACACTCGAATAATTACAAATATACAATTTACGTGCAACTTGTTGTATCTATATAATTTTACCATCGAGTATATCAACGGTACAGAGTGTTTGATTTCAGGTACAATTTGGGGATGGTACTGGAATCGCTGGGCGAGGTGGAGGCTGCCAGCGACTGCATGGCAACGGCGCTGGAGGTCGAAACGACAAATCCCATTTTGCCGATTCTATCGATACCGGTGACCTTTGAGTGATTCGGTTCCTCGGACGAGGAATAAGACGAGATCGCGGTTTACTTTTGCTCTATACGTTGGTATTTCCGCGGGCATTTCCTCGCCTTCCCGTCAATAGTACCTGGACACGTACTATTGTATAAACTCATTGTTGAAAGGAAACGGGAAAAAGGAAAGGGGAAAAAAACAAGTGATACTTTAACTGTACAAAATAGTTACAATCGATGTAATAAATTCGAATAAAGTCTTACTTCCAAAACAATAGTATCGTATTTACATATTCCCAGCCGAGGCAATCGATGTTTAAACATCGGTACATTTTCTTTCGCGCTTGCGAAAGCTCGTTCGCGCCGGCGAGGCGCGCACGCTTCTATTATTCAGAGCTATTATTTCGATTATGTACTTTAGCACCGTCGCGTTCCTCGAGCGGGCCGATCTCGTGCGTGTTACGCGCGCCGTAAGATCCGCTCGCGGTGCAGTGCGCATACGTGATGGCCCAATTTGCGCGCGATGCGCAAGCACATATTACACGTATACGCGAAATCGCACTTGTACGTGGATAAGCGGACGGTTCGTTCGGATCGGAAAAGTCTGATGTAATGCCCTTCTCTAAAAATGTAGTAATTTATTTTTATAGAAATCGATAAGGGCGAGATTTTATCGGAGCGCGGCGCGCGATCTTTTCCTCTGTGTCTCTATCTACCCCTTTCTCTCTCTCTCTCTCCCCCCCCCTCCCTCCTTCTTCGATCGGGCGAATACATACATACGTATCGCACGCACGACGCGTAATAACGGTATATAGAACGCACGAATGACAGTCGCGTTATCGTTAAGAGGTAGCTATTTTCTTTTGTGTAATCGATATAATAATGTTATACATGCATGGCCTGGTTTCGCGCAGGGAGCTCGGGGGGAAAACGCCTTGTGGATCGCCTTCAGCCGGGAGGGTCGGCGCGTATTGACGCGTATGCAGAGGCACGGCAGACGCTCGCGTTTCCTTCTCTAATTTCAAATTACTTGAGCCGGGAAGTCATTAAGAGATACGGCAATTTTCTCGCCTGGCAGTAAGGCCGTGCAGACAAACGAGCGAACCAAGTGGCGACAGCTCCTAGAAGAGTCCCTGACAATGAGTCTCTCTCTCTCTCTCTCTCTCTC